AATTGAAATTTTAATGATAGATCATGATTATCTTTTTTGGTTATAAAAATTTTCATAAGATAATTTTTAATGACTTCAGAAGTCATCTTACTCATGATACACCATAACCTACTTAAATAATCCTATGTTGTTAGACAGGCAGCATGTATATATGCTAAAAATATATATATTATATAAATATATGTAAATATTGTGTCCTCAGGAAAGTCATGACTCATTTTTGCATTGAAAAACATAGAAAAATATGTCATGACTTTCCTGACGACCCAATATTATACCTGAACTTCCAGTGACTAGTCACATAGCTAAACCTTTATCCATATCTATTATTATTTCACTAGTATAAATTTTTTACAAGTAGAATTAGCAGTTGTTCCTTAAAATAAAGAAACAGAAAGGTTTTTTTTAAACAACTAAGCACTGAGTGACACCAGTATGTGGAAGTCTGGTTAAAGGTCTTCTGTTGGCCCAGGGAACAGCAGGAGGGACCTGCTGAGCCAAGTGTGTGGCGGTTTAAAAATGAGCTTCAGAACAACACGATATGAAGATAATCTAAAGATTCACCTAAAGGAAAAGCAGATGCAGTGTTAGATAAAGCAATACTGATGCTAAAATTTACCAGGATAAATATTCCTAACTTTTAAAATAGGGATAAGTATTTCTTTATATATTTTGTGCTCTGTGATATTAGCATGAATGCTATTATTTTATTTCTATATTCCTTTATAGGGAAATTACAAATAATGCAAATTTCCATGATCTTTTGGTGGTTAACATTTGGGGAGGGTCTGACCAACTGGCTCAGTTCCATGGAGGCAGGCTCTGGCCGACCCTGGCACCTGGAAATAGAATTGTATGCTTCCTGTGAAATAGGAATAATGGCTCACGTGTCTCAGAAAGGCAGATAATAAAAGTATTTTAGATTACATTTTTGAGCCAAGGGCTATATTTATCTGAACAAGAATTTTCTCCTGGTTATGATCTTTGTTAGACTTTGCTTGAGGATGCAGAGCGATGCAGAC